GGAAAAAAAAAAAAGGGAAAAACAATTAATTGTAGTACCTCACCCACCCCACCCAGCCCTCCTCCCCCATTCCTCCCAAAACACCTGAACAATGGTGACTAATGTTCCCAAGGAATCGCTGAGAAGCCACCACATGTCAGTGAATCACATAACAAAACCCACAAATTGAAATATAAACCTCAAGTTTTTTATGGTGATTTCGTCTTCCTGGAATTTAGACCAGTCCACAATGGTGAAAGCGGCGGAGGCCGAGAGGCAGATCTTGAAGGAAAGTGAGACAAAGGGCTTCAGGAAATGTCCAGTTGAAGCAGAAGTCCTTCGCCTTCATGAAATGTAGAGACCCCGTAAGGCTTTCCATTAAAGGTAAATTGTAAGCGATAAGGGTATGCCCACCGATAACGGATATCCCTCTGTACTAAGTGGGAAAGTAGTGGCTTGAGAGACCTCCACTTCTTGATAGTGGTCGGAGAGACATCCACAAATACTTGTATATTTTATGTCCAGCCAATTCCAACTCCAGAGTCTCCCTACTATATTTCATGACCGCTTCCTTGACCAGGAAAAAAATGTGGTTTAACAATGATATCTCTAGGAGGCCCCCCCATCTAGGGGGGATCAATGCTCTATGTATACGATCAATTTCTGTATGAAGATCATCGATAGCATCGCAGATCGCATGAGGGATTGGGTGCAGCTAGTGAGCTCTTTGCCTGACTCGCATACTGAAATTGTAGTGCCTAGCCCGGTTTTCCAGATCTTCAATTTTAGAGTAGGCTTCCTCCAACCAATCCTGTAAGTTGGTAATCATATTAGAATATTGGGATATGTTGTGGACTGTCGCATCATCTTTAGATTCAATACTGTCCAGGCGTTGGCCTAATTCCTGAAAATCTTGCTTGAGATCAGCCACCAATTTAGTAGTAGCTCTATCCAATTCGTGTTGCAGTAAATCAGCAAAACAAATGATTAGGGTTGCATCTCCTGAATATTGTGGTGGAGCCGGAGGGATTGCTGGCGAATGATTAGGGCTATCAGAGTCATGTTCCAAACTGCTGCTCTGGCTGAAAAAGATAGTTGCCATCTCGTTATCCAATGGAGAGGAAGCAGGGGAATTGTGGCCTAGTGAGCAGGCCGAAGCCTGGGACTCAGGTAGTGCAGGGCTGGAAGGAGACTGGGGGGGCCAAGGAGGGTCACTCACCCCAGAAGATGATGCCATCGCTGTCCGGTTCCAGCCAGTAGAAGTGGTAGGGCCTGTTTTTCGCCCTCTGAGGGAGAGGTGCTGGCTGTGCAGAGACAGATGAGGTAACAGAGGCCGTGGAAGCCGAGCCGGGCACCATTTTGGATCCCCTGCTCACCGCAGGGATCGGGTGTTGGGAGCAGCCACGGCTCCTCCCTGCTGCCCCTCCCTGCATTATAAGGATGATCCGGGGATCCGGTCTAGGACCGGGGCGAGTCCCGGGATCGAGGAGGCTCGTTGCCCGTGTACGGGCTTGTATAGTGCCGGGGGGTGTGCAGAGCTACGGTTGGGACATGTGTGCTGGCCGCCCGCGCATGCACACTCAAACCTTGACATTTAAAGGATAAGTTTACCTTTTTACGAAAAATAATAAATGCACAATTTTTATTTTTTCTTTCTGGAGCCTCTAAAGCATTGCACCAGCGATCAGCAGATCGCTGGTGATATACAGGTCTCTTGCAGACTATCAGTGTGTCTGTGTGCACATACATCCTGTACAGGCAAGCTGATACCTACTGACAGACTCAATGAACTACCACAGCACTCCACAGCGCCATGGTAGTTCGTTGAGAACTAAAAGCTGACAGGCGCAAAGGCTGTTGGAACTTGCCATGTTCTCATTCACAGCATACTGTGAATGAGTGACAAGGCGGGTGGGTGGAGCCCCACATGGCTACTTTTTAAAAAATTGTGACAGCTAGCAGGGAGGAGAAGGTCCCCCACTAGCTGTCACAATGGGGATTGGGGAGGAGTGGGGGCAGGTCCTTTCGTAACATGTTACACCCTGAATATGGATGTAACATGTTATGAAAGGTGAACTTATTCTTTAGTCTGTAGGCAGGAATGAACTTGTTGCCCCTTTAACTAGGTTTCTGTTTTAAATCCTTCAAGGAAGCATGGTGAATTCACATCCTTCCTGTCAGGATCCTTTATAAACTGTGGGTGGGTTCTAGCTGAGTGTAGTCATCTGATGGGAAGAGCAGACCCTGCTTGCAGTGATGGGTTAAGGACTTCTTTTCTATCAACTGCAAGATGGGCACCCCATCTACTGGGATCCGTGAAGTACACTGGCAAAAAAGAGGACTTGTCCTGTTTCTTAATACTGTTGTTTCAACTATAACTATGTAGTTGTACTGGGCCTGTGGCTGCTTTGAAGTGAATAAAGTGGATTCCTGTTACTGTTGGTGATGTAAGTTGGGATAGCACCCTGTTAGGGTAACTATTAGACTGGATAATATCACGCAGAAAAACACACTGGCAGATAGGACCCAGAAAAGCAACTCCAGTGAAAGCCTGTTTAGGTTGGGCCAGGTGGTGGACAAGGGAAGATGTCTCTTTCTTGTCAGTGAAGAGTTGACCCTTCCATGAAGCACGCATATTCAAAAGAAACAGTAACCATTACCCCAGATGGCCAGATGTTGTAACATTTTAGAGCATGCAATAAGGTTAAGAGAAAAAAAAAAGAGGTGGTAGGATATCAAGCCTTTGAGTTGATTTTGAGTTGGAAAACAGGGTTTGTGCCAAGGGCTCCAGTCTAGTGACCCCATTTTTAATGAGACTTTAAATAACCAAGTGAACAAAAAAACTAAAAGAAAACGGATGCATTCACCACATCTAAGTACTGGTACGTTGCAGCTCCCCACCTGTTTCAGTTTTTTCACACAACAGCCCAGTATCCTGGGTGATGTCATTGACCAATCTGGTTATGACCATATATGGTCATCAATGTCACCCAGGATCCCCTGCTGGTTTGTGTATATACAGAAGCTGGTGAGTGGTTTGTCATTTAAAGGAGTAGGAGTAGAGCAGGCAAACATCGTCAGGCGGTGGGTCATTGAGTTGACAGATCAAGTTAGTTGAAGTGGAGCTACATCACCGCACGACTTTATTGACATTTGATTTATGTTGGGTAATATTGCTTTTTTTAATTAAAAGATTGATTCATGGTGCAGGAGTTTTTTTTTTTTTTTACTTTTTCACTTTTTTGTGATTAAGTAACAAGGGGTTTCCCTTATTCTAAAGGGCTTCCAGATTGTAACTAATCCCCCCAGAACCCCACATTCCTTTTGGGGGAGGATGTGAGTATGAAGAGCTTGTTTCCTCAACTTGGGGGCCTTGCTTGCTACCCCTTTGCAAGGTACCTTCCAAAATTTAAAGGGGCATGGTCTGGTATAGTTTGCTTTTATTGCACCTCCTTTTCTGGCCACCTAGGCTGCATGTCTGGATATTGGTCTTTTTTGGAGAACCCAACACCCTTTATTTTTTAATTTGTTTAAATGGTGCTTCAAGAGTAAAACCGTTTTGGGGGGGGGGGGGGGGGGAACGATTGTATGTATCCAGGGGAGAGGGGATTACTGATGATTGAAATAGTTCAGACGGGAAATTAAGGCTGGCAGCTTCAAAGGTTATATTGTGGAGATGCATGTTTGTAGGGGATTAAGAGTAAACAGAGGAGAGATCTTGCCACAAGCGTGGGGAGAAAAGGTAGGATTTGAGTTCAACTTTAATTAATATCTTTCCTTTCTTTTCTTTTTTTTCAGAAGTAACAGTTACTATTCATATTACCCCAGTTGGCCACATGCGGTGACATTTTATATCATAAAATCCAATTACAGAAAAAAAGAGATTTAGGAGGCCAAGCTTTTGAGTAGAAAAACAGGGCTCCAGTCTAGTACCCAAACTTTTTATTGAAACTTTGAATCACCATGTGAAGATAGAAAAGCGTAAAAAAAAAAAAAATGTACACCACATCACATCTGAGTACTGGTAAATTGCAATACATTACATTTTTGTTTTTGGGTCTAGATACACCTTATTTTTTCATTATCTTTCATTTACCTTAATTTACTGGGAAAAAAGTGTTTTTGTTTTTTTTTAAATAATGGCATGCTTTAAAATGTATGCCTGTAGCACAGCCCAGCTTGAACACAAACCTCTGAATTCTGAAAAATGTAATTTCAGGCTGACACAAAAGCCAGTAGCCTAGGGTTCCAAAGATACAGTTCATTTGAAAGGCAGGCCTCCATACATTTATACATTAGCATTTAACAGCAATGTCCTGCCCAAGGCCTTACAAACAGTGCACTTTTCAAGGTGCTATGTAACTTTATACAAGGAAAACTTGCAAGCTCCAGCCTGTTACCTCCCATAGCAGCAATTAGAGGAAACAGCAAAACACTTCTAATCATTGCTGAGAGCAAGTTATACAAATACAGCATCTAGGGAAATTGAACTGTCTCTGCTCTCTCTTATGTTTGTTTCAGTATTCGCAAACAGTATTCTTTGAAAAGAAAAATATAGGAAAAATACAATCTCTGTATCGAAATGCTTGCAAGGACAACTATTAACTAAAAAAGTAAAGATTGTCTATCTACATATATATTGCATATGAGCTTAAAGTTGACTTCAAATCTAACGCTAATTTTTCACACTTCAGTGGGTGACTTGTTAACAGACAAAAATGAATTATTTTACATTGTTAAGGGAGATACTTAAAAATCAGATTTATGTTACTTCTGGCTCACAAGAATCCTGGACACCTTTCTGCTTTCCAGATGCATTTTAGGAGACTGATGTCTACGATCTCTTTAACCTCATATTCTTTCACAAATCCTGCATTCCCTGGTCCTTCCAGTCCACCTTTTTTCCCACTGATAGGCGGCACTGACTGGCACTGATAGGCGGCACTTACTGGCACTGTTAGGTGGCACTGATTGGCACTGTTAGGCGGCACTGATAGGCAGCACTGACAGGCACTGATAGGTGGCACTGACTGGCACTGATAGGTGGCACTGATTGGCAGCACTGATAGGTGGCACTGACTGGCACTGATGGTGACACTGAAAGGCAGCTCAGATGGGCACTGATATGTGGCATTTATGTGCACTGGTAGGCACTGAAATGTGGCATTGATATGGCACTGATGGGCACTGGCAGGTGACAAGGATGAGCACTGACAGCTGGCACTGATGGACACTGACAGGTGGCACTGCTGCCCTGATGATCAGTGTACATGTCCTCTCTGAGGGATGCCGATTTACCTGCTCTCCTCTCCTCTTGAGCTGTCAGCGTGGACAGCTCGAGAGGAGAGAAATGCAAGATAACCGGCATTTCCCTATATACATGTAATCAGCTGTGAGTGGACACAGCTGATCACATGACCGAGCCAACATCTTCGGCTCTTTCCGTGGATCGGTCATCCGCTGTGTCTGAGGGACACAGCACACCGCCAATCGCTGCGCTGCGCACTCCAGGAGCCGCGCATGTGTGGTTAGAATGGGAAGACGTCATATGACGTCCTCCCAGAACAAGAGAACCTCCTTGCGTCCTTCATTTTACTATATGGCAGGTGGGAGGCCATATAGTAAATAGATGCATATATAGATAAATATAAAGTGCAAAGTGATCATCACCACATGGTGACAGTATTGGTGGTAGATTGTCCAACACATAAGAACGTGAAGATCTCGTTAGATCACAACCAACGTGTTTGGATATCTAATCCAGGGGTGACAGATGATGTGTCTGAATAAGTGAAATGTGCACTCACCAGAAGCGCGCTTTAAACACGCATTTGAGATGAATCCTGTCTCATCAGGTATAATCAGGTCATCTGCTCCCAGGTCAGGCCAGGTTCCTATACACCACTGGGTCCTTGAACAAGTATCCCAGCGTCTGGTCACAACTATATTAGACTCTCTGGGTCCCTTGATAGGTATCACCGCGTTGAGTCACCTCTATAAAGGCTCTGTGAATAACGGCACTCACAGAGAGAGCCCAACAAAGGATTCAACATAGCGTGATACTGTATAAAGGGGTTTCTTAATTTCACAAAATAAGGTGTATAGTAAAAAGGAAGGACACTGACCATACCAGTGGTGGCGTGACATCTGGATGCTGTAGCCCCCCCTGCCGCGTTTCGTGCAAAGCACTTACTCCATAGGGTGCAGGCTTCTGAAGCACTGATGGGCACAGCAATCCAAAGCAGTGTGCGGGAGCTGACAGGGAGGAGAACTGTTAGTAAACAAAATAGTTCTCCTCCCCGTTGGAGATCGTTGGAAATCACCGGGTGCTGGCGAGTAATCACCGGCCGGGACCCAGTGATTGACAGCCGTGGCTGTGAATGGCAGCGCAGGTAGGGCGTGCTATTGGCTCACGCGTGCCCCCTACTCAGAGATGCAAAATCACATATTTTGATTTTGCGCACCCGTGACGCCCTGTAGCAGTATTTTGTTTACAAACAGCACTATTGCTGCTAAGTGACAGATCCCTGGTTGTCTTATGTTTGCAAATAAACCAGGGGTTCTGTAATTTAGAAGTGGTAGCACTAATGCCACTAAATGACAGACACCATGTACTAAATATGTTTATGACCATATTTGGTCATCAGTGTCACCCAGGATCTCTAGCTGGTTTGAGCACATAGAGATGTTTGCAGGTAATCTGTCATTTGCATAGGAGTAGTAGTGGGATTACAATGGCAATGGGCTATTGAGTTGGCAGGTCAACATCATTGTGCAGCAGGACACCTCAAATGATGTGGCTCTACATCACAGGATGACTTGATTGCATGCCTGGATAATGATCTTTTATTAATTTTAGGGAGCATCCAAAGTCTTTTTGGTTTTTTGTTTGATTCTTTTTTTTGGGGGGGGGGTCAATGATACTGTCACTTTAAGAAAAAAAGGGCATCTGACCTGAACTTAACCAACAGGAGAGTTTACTCTTCAATCGCCCCCCTCTCTTCAAGTACAACATGTACAAGTACAGCATTCCCTGTCAACTAGAAGAGATGCCTGCTGCCTGCCTGAACTTACTTGATTTTTTTCTCTTTATTCTGTACCAAGTCTCATTGTTGGCAGCAGTTACACAATAATTGATGGAAGTCATTTGTGTATCAACCCATCCATATATGTATACACAGACACATAAAAAAAGAAAGTGCACCTTTGTTTTGTCAGCATATCTCAAAAGAGAAACATCATATTTTCATTCAAACAGTGCTCACAGATAAAAGTAAGGTAATTGTTTAAACATCAAGTCATTTATGCCTTTTTAATAATTTTTTTCAATAGAATTATTAGTAGAGGTAATGGCATATAATCAAAAATGTGAGTACACTTTTGGTATCAAAAGCTGGTACTGCCCCTTTTAATAAAATTATTTCTGATAGGCATCTTGCATAACTGCCCACCAGTGTCAGTAAAATGTCTGACTACTCATCCAAGTACAATTCCTTAGGTTGCAAAATGTGTGAGCTTTTGTATATGATCTGCCTGTTTCAAATCAACCCATAACATTTCAATGGAATTCAGCTCAGGGCTTTGACCTAGTCAGTCCAAAACCTCCCATTCTTCTTTCTGAGCCTTTTTCATTTCCTTGAAGGGTTTGCTACTGTTCCCTAAGGATCAATGTTGCATTTAAAGATCCATTCCAAGTTCAACTGTAACTTTTGGGCAGATAGCCTGACATTCTTATCAAGCACATTGACAATTTGTTAACTGCAATTGCAATTTAACTGGGCAACTATGTGGCAAATGAGGTTTAATGTTGACAAATGTAAGGTTATGCACTTGGTGGCTAAGAATATGCATGTATCATACATGGGGGGGGGAGGGTACAACTGGGGGAATCAATGGTGGAGAAGGATCTGGGAGTTCTGGTAGATCACAAGCTTAATAATGGCATGCAATGCCAAGCTGCGGTTTGTAAAGCGAGCAAAATCCTCTCTTGTATTAAAAGAGGTATGGACTCCAGAGAGAGAGAGATATCATTTTACCCCTGTACAAATCATTAGTAAGACCTCATCTGTAGTATGCAGTTCAGTTTTGGGCACCAATTCACAAAAAGAAAATTGGGGAACTGGAGAAGGTACAGAGAAGGGCAACAAAACTGATAAGAGGTATGGAGGAGCTCAGCTTTGAGGACAGATTAGAGGAACTGAATTTATTCTCTCTTGAGAAGAGGAGATTAAGGGGGATATAATCAACATGTATAAATACATCAGTGGTTCATATAGTGAATTCGGTGTAGAGTTATTCACCCTGAGGTCATCACAGAGGACAAAGGGGCACTCTTTATGTCTGGAAGAAAAGAAATTTAATCTCCAAACATGGAAAAGTTTCTTCACAGTGAGAGCTGTGAAAATGTGGAAAAGACTCCCTTAAGAGTTGGTTCTGGCCAGCTCCGTGGATTGCTTAAAAAAAGGCCTGGATTCTTTCCTAGATACACAGAATATAACTGGATATAACATTTATAGGTAAAGTTGATCCAGGGAATATCCGATTTCCTCTCGGGGGATCAGGAAGGAATTTTTTCCCCTGCAGGAGCAAATTTGATCATGCTTTCCTGGGTTTTTTTGCCTTCCTCTGGATCAACTGTGGGTATAGGACTATAACTTTTGTTTTTTTTAATGGCTGAACTGGATGGACTTTTGTCTTTTTTCAGCCAGACTAACTATGTAACTATACAGTATATATGCAATCTTAGCAAGGCCTAAAACAACCCCATACCATAACATTTCTGCCAAGAAGTTTCACAGTGGTATGAACTTCTTCTGAAATGCTATCTTAGGTTTTCCCAGTCATTTCTATTGTTACTGTGGCCAAACAACTCATCTTTGATTCATCCATCAACACAGCACATTGTTCTAGAAGATGGGTCTTTTCCTTAATGTTCAATGGAATACTGTATTACTGTTCTAATGTTCTTTTTTGAGTAGCAAAGCCTTTTTTTGGTACATCTCCCATGCAGGTTAAATTGGTAAAATCTGTCTGATTGCACATGCATGTACTTTGACATCGGCTGTTGTAAGAGTTAGCTCCACATCCCATTATGGCATTTTGGGTTTGTTGGATACATCTGTTAGCATCAAATGACTTGGGTTGAATTTGCTGGGCTGTCCAGTTCTAGACAAATTCCCAATCACCTAAAATCACTTATAGATTATTTTCTTTACAGTTACGTAAATAGAAGGATCTAATCATTTGCACCTAATTTGGAACATATTATTCTAATTTCATGGATTTAATGCTGTGGTAAATGTAGGTGTGTAGTTACTTATTCCACGTGACAGGTCTGCATTTTCATTCTTTTGGAATATGAAAAAATACATAATTTCTATGTTATCATTATGCTATCATATGTGTTATTCTTTCAAGTATATCACTTATCTATAGGAATTTTTTAAATGAAGATCTGATGTTTGCCTTCTCAAATATGTTGAAAAAGTCAGCAATTTCCATGGAGTATATTTATCTTTTTTACATGACTGTACAATATATATACTGTTTAAATACTGTGTATTTATATGCAGGGCCATCAAGTTTATATAATAATTTTGTTTTCATTGTAAACTAAAAAATGTAATTAAATAAGGGTCTTGGTGTATGAAAAGTGTGGAAAGGGTGACATTGGCCCATAGCTTTTTTACTTCAATTCACATTTGGACTAACAAAATTACAGATGCTACAAACATTACATTTTAACTTCAGTATATTTTTGCATGCATCAGGCTCGATATGTTTTTGCAATTCATGGTGGTGTGTTATATCTGTAGCTATGAATATCTACTAAATTTTATATTGGGTTACTATTTAATTCCACTGCAGTAATCATTTCTACTGCCATTTATAATTTATCATCCTAATTTATATTTTGACTTATCTGGTAGGTTTTCCCTGGGTGTTCAGTGTGGTTGTTGCTTATTTTGTGCCTAAATGAAATATTTTGTCAGTAGTAGCAGTGGGTGATATGTTATGTCTTTGGTGTTCTTTTATGAAACAGAGATCAGCGACGATCCTGAGGATCGTTGCTGATCTCCAATCATTAGTGGTTTAGGAAACAGAGATGATCAGCGGAGAACATGTTCTCCGCTGATCATCTCAGCACACAGATGGCCAGTATATGAAGGAGTGATCTCAGCCCTTCACTGGCGATCTGTGTTCTCCCACCAGATTCTCCAGCACAGAGCTGGAGAATCTGAGGAACCGCAAACGAAGCAGCGATAATTTACCTCTGCTTAGTAAATGGTGTTTGACTGATCTCTTACTGTAATCTCGCGAGATTATAGTAAAAGCAGCCGTTTTCCA